GATCCCTGCGTAAATCAAAAGGTAAACACTAATTACTGTAACAGCAAGCAAATAAATGTAAAACAATGCGTACTGATTGCAGGTGTCAAGCTTGGGCTTGAAATCAGCAAACCTGCAGCGCGTCATGCTCCTCACAGACGGAAGTGAAAAACGAAAAAACCGAGTGACGGCTAGGAACTGCGTCGTGTTCCCCTCCTCCCCTCGCTTACAAACAATTTTTTACATGCGCTTCCTCACCGCATGATAATGCTGGCTCTCCTCTGCAAAAGGAGAAAGTGATCGTCCGCTGCGTAGCTCCCACTTAATCCCGTGAAATCGAGGAGTGTCGAGGGATGCTGCTGTTGCTCGAAAGTTTGCTAAATAAAAATGCCTAAAAATCTCTTAACTCTCTTAACGCTCTTAACGCTCGCAAATCTGATCCACAGAACTGCCAGCCTCTTCCCGCTTCCCTAGCGTCTCTTATCGTTTCTGTATTTCCTGTCCTAACATCTTTCAACGGTAATCGATTAACTTTTACTTGGAACATATTTTTGAACATCAAGCAGCAAACAAATTGGGCAGTCAGATTTTCTTACTGTAATTTCACCGCACAAAGAGATTTTGAAGGACGCTCGCAAAAGCTCGATTACCAAATGTTTAAAATTAGCAAGACGGAAACAAACTTCGATAGGCTGCAAATCAGTCCCAACCTCTCAGACCATTCTGATGAAGGCTCCAGGGTGTGTAAAACGACCTACGGTTTACTGAACTTGGCTTATTAAAAAACCAAAATCAGACTGACATCTTCGACAATGTAAAAAGCGACAATAATGAAACAACAGTGCGCACTAGAGGATCACAGTGGTTGCATATTGTTGCGGATTCACGAATGGAAAATTAATCAGTGCATGCCAAAATTTGTCAAAATGAATTTTTAATTGACAGCAAGCAGGAAAAGCACCAAAATTTCGAATCATGACATGCATCGCTCTGGAACCTGTATTCACCTGGGCAGTGACCGAGAAGTCACAGAACGACGCATGGCTGTTGCATGCTTTCGATAAGTCACTGCGGCTCCGGCCTGGTGTAAGCGATATTATCAAGACAGTACGTCAAGTTGAAGAACTCGGCTCACTATGCACAGAAATTAGAAACAACAGATGGACAAGGCGGATTATTGAATGGTACGCACTCAGTGTTACAAGGTCGCCAATGCGGTGGACAGACTCATTCGAATGACCAAATAAAATCAAGTGAATGAAAGAAGCTCAAAGTGAAGAACAGCTAAACACCAAATGCAACAGCGGCGAGAAGGAAAGCGATGACGGAAAAGCAGGTGATCAAGCAGGCCAAGAAACAGTAACAAGCTATTCAATGTTACGCAGTCAAGTGCTTTTGCGTCTAAATTAACGTCCTGAAGAATATTATCACAGAGTAGTAGAAATGTCAGCGGATGTGAGAGGGCTGGGGCGGGTAAGTGAGTCAAGGTTGTGAGTGAAATAAGGAAGGTGTGAGTGGAGGGAGGGATGTGTTGGAACGCTTTGTGACATGCAAATTAAGGAAGCTTGAAGAGCGAAAGAATGGTGACAGTAATAGCGGGGCAGCCCCGAGGGGAACGGGTGATTAATGCGAGCCGGCCGGGAAGAATGCGGAAGGGGAAAGTCAGGTGCCAGCTAGCCGGCCCGAAACAACCATCTAAGAAATGATTTAAAAAACAAGGATGCAATTTAGAACGGGTGACGACGACGACAACGACAACGAGCAGCCCGCCGACGGCCGCACCGTCTCCGTATGAGATGCTCTCTTCCTTCCGTTCCGCTATAATGGTTTCATGAACCGCTGCTGCGGCAACCGCCCCTTGCCACCTCATCCCCCTTTCTTCTGGCTCCGGAGACGCCCGGCCTGACTGTACGCTGTTGTGGTGGACATTATTGTGGTGGC